ATTAAGGGGTGTTAAAGGGAGAGAAAATGATCAACAAAATCAACACAACCTTTACTTAAATATTCTGTAACACCTTTGTCAACACTTTAAGCACCACTGAACTAACACATTTGTCTACACCCTCCTCCAAACATCCTGTCCCAAAAATGTACTTTCAGAACCAGTGGTTATGTGTGTTACTTGTGAATATTGGTCATATCTTTGCATGGATGAGTGTGTATGTAGGATTTTTCTGTGCTTCTTAATAACGCTTGGCTACCCCTGTGTCCTGGGAGGTAGTGCTGCACATGCACTGCTACATGTTGTCGGTGAATAGCAAGTGACAGTAGGTACCAGACCCGAGCAGGGAGAGCCTCTAACAGATAGTGAGGTGGGGGGAGGTGAGAAAGACAGAAAGGATGGCAGAGCACCGGGGGTGGGTAGGGGGGTGGGGGCACTCTCACTGGTGCTGGGCAAGACTTGAAGGTCATGTCGCTAAGCATCAGATCAGCTGGGCCGCTGGCCTGGGCGGGGTGTGTTTGTGTGATTCTTAAAGGATGGTATCATGAAATGCTCTCGAGGCATCGCAGTGTTTCTTTGTTTACAGTTTGGGCGTAGAGCAAGGCTCAGAAGAGGATTTTAAAGTATGCAAGCTCTACATTTTTGTCATCCTGAGTTGTGATCATGTGTTTGTAACCAATGCCCCATCAATGCTTGTTTTAATGTGGGAACATGTGAGGGCAATACAAGTGATTGACAGGACAACATACAGAGTAGAAGAATCAAACAGTGCACCCACCACCATAAAAAGAAAATAGTGATGTCTGATGCCTTTTAGAAGCTAGAGATAGACATGAATGTATGAATGTATGTCAATGTGGTGGGGAAGGGGATTTTCAAAGGGCACTGGGTGAGGTTGAGGGTATAGGGTTTGGTGGGTTAGGAGCTGCAGTGTGTGTAAAGGTGAAAGTGTTTGTGTGTAGTGAAAAATCAACAGATATTATCCAACTCTCCTGTTTCTCTTTTTTCCACATTCAAGGGCCTTTTTCAGCTTTTTGTTTATGTCTTGAGGAGTAAAATTGTATTCTTATGTTTCTCTCTCACATCTCGTTGTCTCAGTGTGGGTTCCACCAGCAGTCAGAAGCTGTTTTTAATGAGGCTTTGATATATCCACTGTACACTACACTTAAGAGTTAGCAACTGCAGAGTGTTTAGCAGCAAAAAAAAAAGAGTTTGAGGAGTTCACATGACAAAGGCTTAATTTAATGTGAATGGTGATTATTCCTTGCACTGTTGTCTTAATAAACGCTAAAATAAAACAAAGAAAGAGATCTAAACAATCCAAAGTTTAATCATCTAAAGAGACTATTTATTTTCAATGTCTGTTTAGATTCCGATTGTTGAGCCTGATCATCATGTTGCCGTTCTGTTTATAAATCATTACTCATTGAATAATTGGGGATGTGAGCAGAAAAAACAAAAAAACAAAGAGCCAACATACATTTCTTGTAGGTTAGAAACAGTCTCCCTCTGCTGCTTTCAAACCACACAGGACTGATTCATGTAATGTATTTCTAACTGCTGAAAGGTTTTGACCATTATATTTTCATCTAACAGCAACACAATGAAGTCAAAGAAAACAAGGAGTGGTAAAATCATATTACCGAGACCTGACCATACAGAGACTAGACCGGATCATATTGTACCAGCAGAGAGCTCTTTTGTGAGTCAGAGACTCAGAGTTGGATCAGAGAAAAGAACCTGGATGAGGAGAAGAAAACATCCTTGACTGCAGAGCAAAAAAAAAAAGAAGATCTTTGCTACATTTAGAAGTTATCTTCAAATGTTCAACTCTTGGCAATGCGGGGAGAATATTTGTGTGTGTTTGTGTGTGTGTGTGTGAGTGACTGAAACTGTCAGTGAATCATCAAGTCTCCTCTCTACCAGTTAAATAAATAACCATTCCCAAAAAAATGCCCGCTTTACTCACAGGTCAATTTCCCCTGCAGTCTGTCAGAGAGGACTCCCCAGGGAGACGGGAATGAGTCAAGGCGCACAGGCGAAGCTTTTCAATCTACAGACAGAAGCAAGAAAAACCATGTGACTCACCAATTCATCCCATTATTTCACCAGCTTTTCTAAGTCCTGTCTCCTGCTTGGACATCTTTTTTTTAGGTGAGGCTTTCACTTTATCATCCCAGTTATTTAACATACAATTCAAATGTACATAGCAATATATTTAGCACTGTATCTATAGCCTGATGATCCTTTGTAATGTATGTATGTTTTGTAATGATGATAATAAATGTTTCATCATTTAAAGGATTTATGGTGTACTATTTTTACTATTTGCTTGAAATATTCACTGCTTTAGTCGACCAAAACAAAGTTGAGCAACAATGTATCCCTCCTAACCACATCAGTACAGAGCTCGCTCTGACAGATTACGCTGTTGATCAAAAGCAGAGGAAATTCAAAGGGACCGCTTTACTGACATCACGTTTATATGATCATGGAAGAAAGGTCAAAGAGCGAACGAGAGCCTACCCGGGGTGTTGTGTGCCATAACATGTAATGGGTGGTGACAGGTGTAGTTTGTATAGTGGGCTGAGGGCAGTAAAACAGAGCCAGGGTCACGTGGAGGTTGAGGTCCCAACACTCTCACGAGGATCACTGCCTGACCACCGAGTCATCTTTCCACACAGGCGCACAGAAGAGGGAGTATATTTGACAGATAAATTCATTGAGGTCACAATGGAACAGCTAATACATCCTGATGTGTGTGCTGTATTGAAATGTTACAAACAAAGCTCATTATACATTTTTATCTATTAACTGATCATTCATCATACATGTTATGTGCATGACATATTATTTCTACAATTCTACAATTCACTTAGCAGACGCTTTCATAAGAACAACACAAGCAAGGATCTAGAAAAAAGAGAACAATGTCAGTAAGAGCAAACGATCAGCTTTGAGTCTGATTGGACACACAGGTGCTGACAGGAAGTGACCAGAGGCAAAGCACAACATTGAGGACAGTTCTTGAGAGCTCTAATCAGTATAGAAACCATCTTATAAGTCATCGTTATCAAACAAAAACCATCGTCATTACCATCATCATCATCAATAATATGGAGACCATCATCATTAAGTTAGTAGGTATTCATGAAAGAGCTGGGTCTTTAGCTTTTTCTTAAAGGTGCAGAGGGACTCTGCAGATCACATGGAGTTTGGAAGTTCATTCCACCACCGGGGGGCAACAGAGGAGAGAAGAGTCTAGTCAGAGACTTAGAACCCTGTTGTGAAGGTTGGATCAGACGCCTTTCATTGGCAGAGCGTAGTGGGCGGGAGGGAGTGTAGACCTGGATCAGAGAGTTAAAGTAAGGAGGAGTCGTTTCTGTGTCTGTTTTGTAAGCGAGCAGCAGAGTTTTAAATTTGAAGCGAGCAGTAACTGGGAGCCAGTGTAAGGAGATGAGCAGCGGAGTGACATGTGCTCTTTTAAGAAGGTTGAAGACCAGTCGTGCTGCTGCATTTTGTATCATCTGCAGAGGTTTGATAGTGCATATTTCAAAAGAGAATCACAAAAGTAATCATGTGTTGCAGATATATAAAGGGAAACTGGTGATAACTTCCCCGCACTATCCCCTAGGCAACTGGCGCCCTGATGCATCAGGTTGATACATATATTTTTGGTCTTTATATTCCTTCATTTAGAGGTAGGACAGTGGATAGAGTCAGAAATTGGGGACAGAGAGAGTGGGGACTGACATGCGGAAAAGAAGCAACAGGTTGGATTCAAACCCAGGCCGCCTGCTTGGAAGACTTTAGCCTCCATTGCATATGATAGTTAACATGATTTTTTTTCTCTTCAGCATGATGTCTCCATGATGTCTTTATCGCTACAACATCCATCTCCTGCGAGTTCTTCACCAATATGCAGACGATTAAAACGATTTAGCATGCTTAAAGAATCCAAAGCACAACAAACTTTCATTCTGAGAGCTAAAGTAGTGACAGTGGTGGCAGCACAAAAAGCTAGCTACTCTGTAAATACCCACCGGGATACGTGTCTTTGTGGCCTTGTCCAAGCAGAAAACTTCATCTGCCTTTCAGGGCCGGACAGAGGGAGGCATGTTCACACATTAGAGTGTGACCTCCGCTAGTTGACAATGTGAGATCGAGCCACAGGCTGCAGGGAGAATGTGTTGCGTTTAAATCTGCAGCATGGACGGAGATTTAAAAAAGCAGACACACACACACACACACACACACACACACACACACACACACACACACACACACACACACACACACACACACACACACACACACACACACACACCCGAATGCCCATACAGAAATTCTTAACACCTGCTTTCAAAGCTCCTGCAAATCACACACGTGCACACAGAAACACACACAATGTGTCTTGGTGACATTATGGATGGATGAGTGAGCGGCTTCACAGAACAGTGATTACTGGCTGCTGTGTGTGAAAGGAAATAGATTAGTCACTGTCTCATCTCTCTCCCTTTTTAATAATACAACATATAAACACTCCCTCATGCTGTCTGAGAGGGAAAATAAACCAAAAGAAAATTCAACGTTAGGATTCAAGGAAACTGCTTTTTAACATTGTGCCTTGAATCCAAACGATATATATATCACTGTGACGTCCTCTTCATAATCATACATGTGTCTGTCTTAGTTTACAAAAAACTGTGAAAAAACATGTTTGAACAAACCTACTCTGAAAATCATAAAGGCTATTATTATAATCACTTTTTTTTTAAGTCAGATGTTCTTTTGTGCGTCTTCCTCAAAGCGTCTCCACAATTCTGCTGTGAAAGAGAACAGTTTTCTGAAAAGTGTTTCTAAAAAAAAAAAGCAAAGAAAAATTGATTGTGGTGGCATTGTTGAAATCCTTGCAAAAGAAAATTGCTAAAAAGAAGAAAAGAAAAAAAGCTGACCTTCTTTTGTGCACGATTCCGGTGTCAGCGCTGCTCTCTTCCATCACTGGTGCATTGTGGGTACATTGTGGATGAACCCTGCCCTTCAGCAATTCTCTATGTCATGATTTCTTTTCCACCCACATGAAGACAGACACATCGAAAGACAACATGACAGAGGCATATAAATAACCGTCTGTTTCCTATGATTAATTGTTAACTTTTACAGATTTATACATCCACTGTCACCGTCTAAAATGATGACAAAAAGTGATTTATTGATGACATGAGTTATAAAACCTAAAAGCTGAAGTTGGTAATAAGTTCATCATCGGCACGACAGTATGGCGCAGATGAGCATACCAGCTCACCTGATCCCACAAGATAAGCTGTCACACACACACACACACACACACACACACACACACACACACACACACACACACACACACACACACACACACACACACACACACACACACACACACACACACACACACACACACACTCTCAGAGAGGTGTCAGAGAGGCAGCAGCAACAAAGGGTCTTGTTTATTAACGGAGCTCGTGAGGCAACAAATGAAGCATGAAATGAGTATCTCTCACACAACACAGACATACCAGGTACTGTACGGCGAGGCCATGGATGGAAAGAGGGAGAGCAAACCTGTGTCAAGCTGTAAAAATGCTCACAAACATACAGATAAAAAGAATCAATTTCATGGGTCGTGATAGTAAACAGAATGTAGAGGCATCTGTTTCGACAGCAGATTGTGTGACCCAGTTAATGCAGACTGCATGATGGTGTGTGTAATCCATCAGTACTCTGGTTTTACTGAAGTAGTTTATTAGTTAAGGACATACACTTCACCACGTTCATGTCTTTAACTGTCAGCCGGTTAGCTTAGGTTCACATGGAGACTGGAAACAGCAAACCTTACTTTCGTCTCAGCAGGACCAACAAGCTCACCAATTAACATATTACAGGATATATTCTGAGTCAAGATGATAAATTGGGATTCTACAGGTTATAAAATGTCGGACCATTTCTCAGCCAGGCACAGTTACTCAGAGCTAAAATAGTCTGGAACATGAACACTGCATATAACAGATCCATAATGCCTAGAAATAATGAGCAGTTGATTATTCTTTTAAGATTTTTTTTACAAGTCGGCTAATTTAACACCTAAGCCCATAAACACAATTAAACCCCGATTTTCACATTCTCACACAAAATCCTCTTTGCCTCCTGTTGTACTACCAAACATGTTTCAGCCGTTTTAATGCCAACATGTAACATTTGGTGAAGCTGAAGTGTAACAGAGGTATTCTAAAGCTTCCATACTGCATACTGTCCCCACATCTCAGAGGAGAATGCTGGATCTATATGCTGCAAGATAGTTTGTGTGTAGATTTGATGTAGTCGAGTGTCCCAGAGAGCATTGTGCAAATTTAGTTAAATTTATTTAATTTCTTATTTAACCTTTATTTAACCAGGAAAAAGTCTCATTGAGATTAAAAATCTCTTTTACAAGAGCGTCCTGGCCAAGACAGGCAGCAGCACAATTACAGGGTTTCAGACATAAAACACTTAACAACAATGTACAGAAATACAGGAATCACAAAAAGAACCATTCATCAGAATCTGTCATAAGTCATCAGCAACACAGAGATCAAAAAGGGCAATACAAGTTAGCTAAAACATCTACAGTCAGATGTTTCTGCCTCCAGATCATTAAGACAACCTTTAAAAACATTCAAGGAAACCAGCTCCCCAAGATTTAAAGTATCTTGCAACTGATTCCAAGAAGAGGGAGCAGCATACTTGAACGCCCTTTTTCCTAATTCAGTACGGGCTTTAGGGATGGTTAGAAGGTGTAAATCAATCAAGTGTTGAGAGATATCTAACAGGGACCCTAAAACGTGGATTCAAGCATCAACACAAGCTTACATGATAGATTTCATCCCTATTATGTAAAACAAAAATGTTCCAATGACATCATGTAAGCTGACCTGTCGTTGTGTCCCTGAGCAGGAAACTGAGACTCTGGCAGTTCCAAGAGTTTTTTCTTTTCCTGTGTTGACCTCCTTATGAGGTGAAAAGCAAATCTCCCTTCGGGGATCAACAGTGTCACACTTACAATCTGTGCTGTGCTGCAATAAAACGGCTGTAAGAGGGGTGTGACACGGGACAGAGGAGTGTAATGCTGCCATCTATAGGAAGAACCAAGCGGCCATGGATGAATCAACAGACAATGCAAACTCACAAATCTTCTCCCTCTCTCCCTCTTTACCTCAAGTTCCAAATCTTTTCCTGCCTTATACAACCCTGTCAACGACGTACCACATGAGTCTAATGTGCAGTTACAACCACTCAAAAAACCTTTAAAACTTTATAAACTCTACACTTCGGCCTATCCTGCTCCTCTAACAGAAGTCGACCACACATGACCTGAAGGCTACTGCTGATTGGCATCCAGTTGCCCTGTTGGCACTGGCCAGCTTCTCACCTGCCAGCCACTAAAGAGGTGCAGGGCATCTTTCAGAGGTCCCTCACCCCATCACTTATCTGCTGCCACCACACACACACACACACACACACACACACACACACACACACACACACTTCATTACTTTACAGTAGTGAGTAGTGAGCACACACAGCATCCTTAAACTCACATCATATCTGGCTCTGTATGAAGTAGGCAAAAAAAATAATTTCCCGACCTGTCATAATGAGCCTGTTATGATGGATCCAGCCCACATGCCTATCATCAGAGTTAAATTGATCACAGTGTGGCTGATGTACATCATGTGGCGGGAAGAGAAAGTCTCTCTACAGTGATGGATAGCTAAAGTGAAGGCGGCTAATTGGAAGTTTAAGGTAAAATCACACTGACAGTGGGGAAGGAAATTGGCTGCGTTTAATTTATGTTCCCTCAATGATTTCTGGCTGATGATACAAAATCAGAGTTGCCACTTTTTTATGTTTCTTTTTCTGAGAATTAGTCACAAACAAGAAGTGGTAAACAAAGCAGTGGGCTTGAAAGTTAAATGGAAAACTCTCTGATGTATTCGAATCACATTTTTCTAAATAGAGCTTGAGTGCTGTGTCAGTCTCTACCACATTATTTCACTCTCAAGTTGAAGTTCATCGCCTTCAATAGAAACTCACCATGTAATGCAGCTTTTGTCCAAGTCTTACAAAGGCTACTGCCGCCTGTCCCTGGTTAATCAAAGCTTCTGTTGACATAGGAAGTCTGTTGCAGGACGCCATGATGATGTTCTTCATTTACTTGGGGGTGATCCACTTGTACTCACACTGCCTCTCTTCTCTTTGTGTGACAGACAAAGCAGACAGCACCCCGACAATCTGGGAAGATAGGATCATTATACAGACTGTAGCCTGCCATTATTGACACTACATTTGTGTGTGAGTGCATGAGTGACAAAGGGGAAGACTGAGGAGAGAGATAGTGTCACGAGTGTCAAATGGAAGTGTGACTGTCTGACCAAGTCGACAGTACGCCTCAAACAAAGGCCTGTACAGTCACATGATTCATGCAGATAAGAGTGTGTGCTTCTATCCCCATTTGTTCCTTTTATCACATCTCGACACTTCTGAAAATAAACTTCTTCATCAGTCATGGTTTTAAGCTGTCACTCTTGACCCTGTGAACACACAAATGCAATCTGGCTGTTGTTTCCTTAAAAATTGGCCCGCTCTCGACTTCCTCCTAACCTGGCACTTTACTAAATCACATGGGTTTGTGAAGCACTTAATTGCAGCACAAGCCTCAAAAAGCATCACACTTGTGTTTAAATGTTCTAATTAAAGGGATGAAAATAGATACAATTTGAACTAATACTGTTTGTACCATTACCTTTTCTGGCAAAACAGAGATATGTGAGTTTAATATGCTTGTTAAAGTTTTTTTTTTTTATAATTCAACTCAAAAATTGTACGATATGTCAGAGTTTGCCTGAATTTTTGGAGACAGTTGTGATCAGGGTTGAGTATCAAGAACCGGTTCAAACCTGGAAATATTTCTGAAAATGCTGATAGTTCACTGTTTTTAGAGCCTTAATGAGCTAACAATTAAGGTAGGCACATTTTGTGTCTTTAGATATTAGTATTTTTTTTTTCTCTATAAAAAATATTGGAATAGTAATCAAGATTCAATAAAAATCGTGTTTGATAAGTGGAACCAGAATCGGAACCTGTCGAATCCATTAAATCGGAATGGTTCCCAGATATAATCCATGAAATATGGCACCTTTTCAATCAGAAAACACGTTATATTTTACTTTGTGTATACAAACAATCCTAGAAGTATCAGAAATGATCAAATATCTGAGGTGTCTTTCTTATATGTACTGAAATACCATGGTTCACTTCCAACACACATGGGCATGAATCACTTGATTTTTGAAATTCCATTTCAATTTATTCAAATCAATGAACTCAGAAGCTTAGAAAGGACTACAGCTTGGAGTGCCTGCATCTTGAAAAACAAACCACACTTTCATTGCACCTAAAACTCAACATCACCTCTAAATACTCTTAGACTTGTTGCTCCATTCCCAAGAGGACAGTTGTAGCAACACTTCCTGGCATAATATCACAATATCACACCATGCCAGGAGCCGGCAGCGTGATTGTTGATGGCAGCAAAAATCCTTCTTCTCAAGGAAAAGCTGTCCTCAATTCCTGTGCACAGCTTTCCAATAAAGAGCCAAACAAATGTGGAATCCATGTTAGCCCCATACGGCTGGGGCAAGAGAAGATTTCAGGCCCTAAAAACAGAATAATGAGGCATTAAAGTCTGGGGCTGAGGAGGGTAATAATAAGGAGGGGGTTTGGGGGGAAAGGGGACAATAGTTTCCCGAGGAAAGACAGAGAGAGAGAGAGAGAAGGGGGAGCAGGCGAGATAAGACTGGTGGCTTATCCTAGTTACTGAGGAAGGATTAAGTACTGCACCACTTTGGTTGGGTGAATGCATGTGCACGTATACACACACAAACAGTCTTTCACACACCCTTTCTCTTTTTCAATCACCCTCTGAGAACGTACACACATCTAGGCATGTGCTGAGAGGGGTTAAGGAGCTGCGTTGCCCTCTGAGCCAGTCTTACTGGGCTGTAATGACTTTAGAGGATGTCAGACTCTCTTCATCCACCAGTGTAATATAATAAAGCAGAAAGGAGGGGGATATCTTCTTCAGGCTGCCTCTACTACACCCTCTCTTTTCCCCACCTTCCTTAACTTCATCCACCCAGTAATATCTCTCTGCCCCTGCACTCCATGATGAAATACTTTTTACTGAATACATTCTTTACCTTGTTCCCCGATTCTACATTCTGCCTTGCTTATGTGTTAGGTTCATACAGCCTTCTTCTGCTCTTTGTCTTCCATTTCCCAACCCTATGTTTCTCCTCTAGTGTCAGCCATGACAGTGTAGGGTTCTTGAAGTCGTGTGTTGTGACAGCCCCAGTTTCCCTCTCTACACCTGGGTCAGCCCCCCCCCCTTCTTCAGGAACCTCTGTTTATCTCTACATCCTCTCTTAAGTATTTATTCTCTTTGTGTTCTCTCTCCATCTGCTTTATCACTGGATCCTGGCTTGGTGATACAGAAAGTGGCTCTTCCTGGGGTTCAAATGGAGACAGCTAGCATAAATTTAAAAGAAGTGTTTCATTATTATAATGACAATGGTGCCATACATGCCAGGCCCTTGGCATCAGTTATCAGTGAACTGACCCTTTGATTTCTGACAGACTGAAATTCACATTCATCATTTCATTGTGATAATGCAGCCTTAGAAAACTAAACAACAAACATTGAAATGAATGAAACAAAGCACCCACCTCTCAGGCTCTTCTTGTTCTTTGCCTCTTCCTCCTTCCTCCATGCTGCGTTTCTTTCCAGCCAGCCGCTTCTCCGAGCTGCGAGTGTTTATGTGTGTAGTCGCTGATTGTAGTGGGGGGTCTAATTCAATTCACCACTAGCCAGTTCTACTTCACATTAACGCAGTTTAATAAAAGACTATTCAATTAGCTAGCCAGCTCCGCCTGAGTGTGTGTTGCGTTGCAGAAACAGAATGGTGAATGTCATTGATGCAGCCCCACACTCCAATTAGGCTCACTGTCGACTTCTCACATATGCAAAGCCAAGTTGGCTGAGAGAAGAGAGAAGGGAAAGAAGGGAGAGAAAAACCAAAGGCAGAGAGAAAGCGGAGGGTAAAAGACTGGCAGTGGCTGAACTCCAAAAAGAAGTAGGTGTGTGTGTGATACAATGTGTGGGTGAGCGATTTTCCAGTGGCTGAATTCTACAAGTGTCTAACTTTACTTGAATTGATCCCCATTAAGTCTTTACAAAGGGCAGCAGTTTGTCAAAGGTGTGTGTGTGATACAATGTGTGGGTGAGCGATTTTCCAGTGGCTGAATTCTACAAGTGTCTAACTTTACTTGAATTGATCCCCATTAAGTCTTTACAAAGGGCAGCAGTTTGTCAAAGTCTGACACCACTTCTCGTTTGCCTACACCTTTTCAGCTGGATGAGAGAGAACAGCTGACAAACAGCGTATCAAGAGCTGAACAAAGGAGACGGAGCAGAGCTGTTAAAACATATACATTAGGCTCCGTGTCTGACTGTCAAACTCGTCTCCAGCAGACACTACAGGATGTTGGAGAGGTTAAAGACCTGGCAGCAACTCAAAGAAAAGCAAACACCTGCACTTAAGCTATTGGAAGAAAGCATGACAATTACTGTTTGCATGCTGCAGAGTATTGCCGTAACACCCCCCCACCCTCCCCCTCCCCCTCCCCAACATAACAACACCCTGCTTTATGCACATTTTCTGCTCCTCTTTGTCGTCAACTGGAACCAGTAATTGTCAAGGACTGGAAATCAATAGTGGCGCATTGTGAGACGTGAGCAGCCATCTTTCTGACCTCGCCATGCAGCTGCCTTTCCTTTCCTTTCAATCAAAGCAATGCCGGTTACCATGGCAACCTCAATCCCGCAATCATTCTTAGTAATAACGCGGGAAAAGGAAGGCACAGCACTGGAGGTGCAGGGTTGAGATAGAGTCAGGAGGAGAATGAGAGAGAGAGAGAGAGAGAGAGAGAGAGTGAAAAAAAAAGAAGTATTCTCAAACATAAAACAGGACATAAAGTAACAGACGCCTAGAATATTAACTGGGAGGCAATTTCAGTGATGAGACTCATTCAAATCCAACAAACAACAGCTTCCTTAAAAGAACACAAACATCATCCCCCCCATCAAGATTGTGTTTATCTCATTTCACCGCCAACTCGCATTGAAAACATCTCATAAAGCCTAGTCTTCTTTTTTTTTTGTTCACCCATTGTGCGCTCTTATCCGATATATTGGTGAAATATCCCTGATATTTCGGTAATTCCGCCAATTTAATTAAAAGGGGGTGGGTTTCTAATAAAAGCCAAATGGCAGATAGCGGTGCCTGGGCTTTTCAGGAGCTTGTTTAATCAGAGAATTGCTGAATGGGAGAAGGCAATAACAAAGTGAATAGAGGCTGGTATTTGTAAAGAAATGTCAGCGAGAAAGGGGATATGAGAGACGCTCTTATGTGGTGCTGTCTTTAATATAGGTAATATGTGGATCGTGTCGGTGGGGTCAGAGCTGCCTAATCCTCTCCTATAGAAGTTGAGTTTATAGCTGGAGGTGTTCACTGACTCACATAAAACAAAAACTGGACTGAAAGGGCTGATAAATACGCATATTCACACACCCATTAATTCATGTCCCTGCTCTTTACTTGACTAGATTTCTATAATAGAGCGTTTATTGTATGGATTAGTCTGTGGGCATGTGCGTGTTATGTTGTGATCAATACCATGGTGGCGCGGGAGTCAAACTGTGATCAATAGATTGCTTCTCACAGCTATCGTAAACGAATACACTCTACTGCATTCACATCGACTATCACTTGTGTGAGTGTGCTTTTATATCCGCTAACAAGTTTACAGGAATATTAGGCAGTCATTACAATTCTGTGCTTCGCTGTTGAGTATATATATATATAATATGTATGCATTTGTGTATTTGTGTGTGTGTGTGAGAGAGAGAGAGAGAGAGAGAGAGAGAGAGAGATAACAAGCCTCTGTCATTCCGTGTGTGACCAACCGTCACATATATATAAGTGGCAATGCATTTTAACTGAGGCCCTCCTTTTTTTTATGTACACACACACACACACACACACACACACACACACACACACACACACACACACACACACACACACACACACACACACACACACACACACACACATGCACACACACACACATACAGGGGGTTAAGTGTCTAAGCACAGAGAGGCGCTGTGAGCTGTAGCTCTGTGTGCTGACCTTCAGGGTTATCTGGAAGGTTCCTCCACACCTTGCTGCTAGCACTAACCCCGGCTGTCACCATGGAAACACAGCTAGCAGGGACAATATGTGGCCTGTCCAGTGTGCACGCAAGAACCTTAACGTGGTGGCATGTATGCAAAACCGGTTAACTATCATGGGAAACACAGTAATAGACAGTAACACATGTGCACACACACAGGTTTCCTGTTGCACACTTCACTCCTCATCTGTCCTGCACTTCATTTATCCCTTGTTTTTCCTCTCTCTCTCGCTTCCCTTCTCTCTCTTAATGAAACCATGAGCACGGCACAATCAAACCCCTGGGCCTCACTGCATTGACAGAAGGGTGCACACGACCCCATTTTCAGTAGTGGAAGCGTTATTAGCATGAAGTGACAAGACACAGCCATCCGCCACCGCACTGCACGCACACAAACACACATAAGAGAAAAAACCTGCAGTCTCATCACCACCGGATCACTGGGATTTATTTCAGTGATGGCAGGGGTGTGCCAGCGCAACTTGACAATAAATCAACACATCATAAACTCTGAGTGGCATGTCAAGATAATACACTCAGAAAAACAAGGAGGACAGTGAGGGGAAAACAGGAGGGGGTTATTCAGTGATAGTGGGAAAAATAAAACGGTGGATAAATTGGAGGACAAAAAAAAGGCGAGAAAAACACAGCTATGTCATCTCTGCTTCTTCATGACTTCTCCTCCTGCTTTCTTCGGGTCTCTTAGCCGTGATTCGTCAGTGAGCTCTGGAAAAAAGGAGGCAGAAAGGAAAAGGGGGGAGGGAAGAAAAGAAGAGAGAGCGTCAATTTATATTGTTTACAAGTACCTAAGGGAAATTCACAAACACAGAATGCATCATGACATATCAGTTTCACATACTTAGAAAACAGTAGCCAAAGTCATTCCGTATATTTCACAAAACTCAAGAAAGTACCACTTCTAAATATTTAAATATCACCCAGGGAAGCTGATCCTCTGACACCTCTGAGCCTTTCTACTGTATTCTAAGTCCAACAAGTATTATCATTCAGCTAGAAACTCATGGGACATTAACATAGTGCTCTCTTAACATTTGATATTATATTGTATTGACTGAATTTCTGTCCATCTATCTATGATGAAAATAATGAGCTTCATATTTAACTTAACTTTTGATACAAAGGAAATGCCTAAACACATGCTAATGATGTACTATGGGAGTGTGTAGATAATTCCAGTTCTACCTACCAATAATGAAAAGGTTCTTTGACTATGTTCTTTACAAACAGAGCTCATTTGTTTAACACTTAATTTTTTTGAATGGACCAAAGTATTGTTGAATGTTAATGAAACACCTGATTAAATAAACTACAAACGTTTGTACATTGTGTCTACACTTTCCATCAGTCAGTGTTAAAGATAGACTCTGACTGGGGAACAGACACAGACGCATGTTTAAACATATTTATTCACTCTGTAGCGCGGTGACTCATAGCACAGTAGCTGCAGGAAACGTCTGTATTGAAATACAATAAAAACAAAAATAAACCTTAGAGCAAGGCACTTCACTACAGAAGCAGCAGAGCGGCAGGAATTCCAAAACTACCTGTTCCTTTATTTTATTTCAATTCTTCATTGAATATTAAAATCCTACATCTTTTTTCTAAACTGGATTCTGCCCCTGTTGCCATAGCACCAACGTTTTGTGTGGTGTCAGTACCCGACGAGGCAGACTGCTCATGAGGAAGACTTTGAAGTGAGGAGAAAGGGGAAAGCTTGTATAGGTTGAAGGAAATGTGTTGAAAGAACCTCATATGTTTGAGTAATCCAATCCAAGAATCCATTGGTTAAAGTGTCCTGACAAAGCAAGATCAAATAAAAACACAAACAACTGAAACAGTTAGTTCACAAAATTAATCCAATATCAATTATAGAGCATGTTAACCTACATTTAAATCATCTAAAAAAAAGAAAGGTATGATTCCTTTCTAATAATTCCTGGAGACTTTCTTTTGTACGATCCAAATGTCCGGGAGTTCAGGCCCATAAAACTGAAAGCAGCCTCAGCAGATTTCTTGCGGGACACTTTTGAAACTTTCAAAGAAAGGCAGTATATGATGTGAGAGTTCACATTAGGACATGAAATGAAAGGTAGTCAATAATATATGAAGGACCTAAATTATGTAAGCCTTGAAGATAAGTAGAAGGAGTTTGAATTAATTCTAATAGAGACAGGTAGCCAGTGCAGTGATGAGAGATAATCATGAATGTGATTTTCTTTCTTCGTACAGTATTTGTTCAAATCAAGGCTGCAGCAGTCATTTTTTAAAAAGGAGAGTGGCAATTATCTTAGTGGCTGGTAATAAAGGCATGAATCAACATTTCAGCATCACTCTGAAAAAAAAGGAAAATTAAAAAAAAAACAAGCAATCCAAAGAGACAACAGTAGATTTTTCTAAAAGGACTCAGTAGACAACTCACAGAACTTAAGAGTTAATGAGTAACAAAAATAGATCCTATATGAGACGCCTTGCAGGTTTCATGTTTGTGTATCAAAACACTTTTCCAGTTTTTTGGCAAAGTTTGAAAATATTTTTTTGATTTGTCTTTGTGCCTTTATTCAGTTTAAAAATCTCTCATAGTTGATTATGGTTTAGAAAGCCAGCTTACTGGGGTATAAGCAGGATTTGTGTATTCACCTGCTTTTTGCAGGTATCAAATGCAGTTGTTTAAGGCAGATAAGGAAATCGGTGGGCAAAACGTCAAACTGGGAAATATACTGCCAATAAAACAAACAAAAAAAGGAATAGTAGCATAATAAATATTGTGTTTTTTTTAAATCTTCAGCAGATAAGATAAGATCGCCAAATGTGTTCGATACAATAATGTTCACTCTCCCGTTACTCTCCACTCCTTGCTTGTAGGCTGTGTGTGTGTATGAAGAAGTGACGAAAATGAGGTGATCAGATTGATTTCTCAGCTTGATTAACAAGTTA